ATATAGTAAACTTTACCATGTTTCTGGCTCTATAGGAATACCAAAATGCTCGGTAATTTTTACCGAAGCACCTTTTGGTACTGATTTTGGTAAAATTAACAATAAAATAGGGTTTTATTATATGTGATAAAATTTGGTAAGATTTGGCAATTTTATCAAAATATCTTAGAGCACGGAATAAAAGACCTTTATTCGGGTAAATTAATTTTAGTTCAGTATTTTTACTAAAAGTATGGTTAGAAAAACCATAATCTGGAAAACCAGTATTTCTGGTTAACTATTACCATGTGTGCAGAAAAATAATCAAATAAATGGTTTAAATACCGGATATTTTTGTTTTATTAACCAAAATTATGGTTGTTTTCTTTTACTAGAAATGTCATTACCATCAAGTACGGTAATTTTATCAGAGTTTTTCTCCGTCCAGAATAAGAGAAAAATAAATTCATAAAGCAATCGAACAAATTGTCGTTTCTAATAATTTGCATGAAATATGAGAAACTAAAAATAGTTCTAAATGATTCTAGAAGTTTTATTTTTACTTGTGAACGTGAGAAGAAAAGAAAACGTTTTTCGGAAAAGGAAGAAAAATATGTAACTAAGGTTGAGTTTATTGATCCAAGTAGTTCTCATTTATCAAAAGGGCATCTAACCAGACCAAAATTGAGGATCTTTCAAAATAGAATGAATAATGTCTATGCCAGCAATATTTTCAAAATTTATGCAATCACAAACCAAAAAAAAAATAATAAATAAATATTTGTTTACTAACTTAAATCATACAAAATGAAAACTTATCGCTTTCTAGTTAAATAGCAGAAGAAAATTTCTAGTTTAATCTATTTGAAATTTCGCGTTTATATTCCCCGACATTCCAGATTAATTAATTTCGCCATGAAAAAGATACTTTAATGTAAAATAATTAATAGCATAATTTTTATGTTCTACTCTAGGACACTCGATAATTTAAGCGTTATCTCAGATATGTTAAAATTGACTAGATTTTTATTAGAAGAACTTATTTAAAGTTATTTACGTGTCTTTTGCCAGTTTTTCATTTAATTAAATATTTGACATTATCGATTACAGATAAGTGATATTTTAGCAGACCAAATAAAATCTGTTCTCTATAATTTTAAATAAATCTAAACTAATTAACATGGAAATAAAACGAACGGAAAGAAATAGAAAGAAAAGAAATAGAAAGTTTAAAAGTTTTCTTCTATTTCACTTATTTAATTTTTTTAATGAGTATATTGAAAAATTAAAGATTAAAAATAGCCAAAATGAAGCGATATTTTAAGAAATAAGTATTAAACACATGGAATGGAATGTGTAGAAGAGCCATAATTCTGAATTACGCGATTGCTGAAACTCTAGTGATTTACTAACATTATATCAGTTGCATGAGTATATTGAAAAATTTAAGATCAAATACTGCCAGATTAAAGCGATATTTCGACAAATGAATATCAAACATATGAAATGGAATGGGTAAAAGAAACATAAATCTGAATTAAGCGATTTCTGAAACACTAGCGATTTGCTAATATGATCTAATGAGTACATTGAAAAAGTAAAGTTCAAATACTGCCATAATAACAAATATCAAAAATATGAAATGGAATGGGTAAAAGAAACATAAATCTGAATTAAGCGATTTATGAAACACTAGCGATTTGCTAATATGATATAATGAGTACATTGAAAAAGTAAAGATCAAATACTGCCATAATAACAAATATCAAACATATGAAATGGAATGGGTAAAAGAAACATAAATCTGAATTACTCGATTTCTGAAACACTAGCACTTCGTTAATATTATATAATATAAATGAGTATATTGAAAAATTAAAGATTAAATACTCCCAAAATGAAGAGATATTTTAAGAAATAAATATCAAACACACGAAATGGAATGAGTAAAAGAGCCATAATTCTGTATTACACGATTGCTGAAACACTTGTGATTTACTAATATCGATATCAGTAACAAAAGCAATTATTTATCCCGAGTATAACCACGTCAATTTCGAAAATGGTATCGAAAACTCTCGTGGGTCCCGAAAGCAAATTCTAGTAACAGCAATCATCTGTCCTCATAGGAAAACGCATAAATCTTTCGATGCAATTGGTATTGAATGATAGAACATCGAATTGCTATTACTCAATAACATTCAATGAATGTCATAGAATTGGTAATGCCATTCCGAGTAACTTAAGCCACTATTCATTTTAAGATATCAGCTATTTCAAGAACTTCCAAGATGGATCAATTGTTGTAAATCTTGGATGACAATTACACTTTATGTTTACAAGTATTAACGTACGTTTTCCAAAATATGCATATTAAAGGAAAGATATGTCTAAAGTTAGTTACCCCTTAATGTGGGGTAACTAAAGCTGGCGGTAGGAATTCGATATTTAGCCTATATTTAATGAAGTTAGAGTAACAAAAAGTTAAATTAAATGCTCAAAACAACTGCTTTCATAAAAATAAAATTGCAGAATTATTTATTTTTTAAATTTTTATTCTTTTGCCTATTTAGTTAACGCTAAAAAGTTCAAGCTATTTAATTTATGATTAAAGTTCAGTTAACAAGTTCAAATGAACGTTCTCTATTGATTACTACAGGCTATACAGTAGCAACAATGTCTATAATATTAAAATCCATAGTTTTTTGGAAAACGTTTGATAATTTTTTTTATCCCATACAGGAAACAACAATGAATTTAAAATACAGAAAAAAATATTAATGGAAATATAATCAATGAAGTAAACCAACCATTAAAGTACTGTTTGAAGTTGTTTTTAAAAATATTTATAGGGAGTTCAACTTAAAATCAAGGAATAGGTAATTAAAGTTATTAAACGTATACCTTTACGATAACATTATCTTAAATGTAAGTCAAGGTTTAAAAGCTTACTTTTAAAACAGACACATTATGTTGATAAATAACATACATATTATAAATGATCCAAAATTGTACTAAAACATGCAACTGATGGTATGAAAGTTAGCAATCAAACTCAAAACAACGTTGCTAAATTCGACTTAATAATGTACACTGTAAAAAATTCCGGATCAAATTCGGTATAAAGTACCGGCACTTTGGGTGTGTATCATTGATCTGATTTGGGTGTGTAATTTGATCCGGACATTTTTACAATGTGGGTGTGTAATCGATCCGGACATTTTTACAATGTGGGTGTGTAATTTGATCCGGGCATTTTTACAATTTACCCAACAAAATGGCTCAAGTAACCCGGGAAGACAAAGAAATTTCAATTCGTAAAATTTAAAATCAAACTAAATTTTATAAATAAGTTGATCAGAACCCTGTATTAGAAAAAAAAATTTCAGAAAGTTTACCCAATCAGTTTTTTTTTTCTTTCAAATTAATGAACAGACAGTAACGTGCCGTAATAAGTCCATCATTTTAGAACAAAACAAACGTGAAAAAGTTCCCATTCCAGTTTAAATCCTTTAAAGTAACAATTCACGCATTATGCACAATTTTAATACCTTGAATGTATAGTATTATCGATCTTTTTTCTTCTTTTTTTTTGTCATTGATGTTATGTTTATCTGTGAAATGCAAAGTCATTCCATACTTTTATCGCTTTGGGAAAATAGTCGTGTGTACGGTGAGAAAGAAAAACTCACTTTCTCAAGCCAAATAATTAATTTCGATCTCTTTCTCCCCTTCCAGGAAAAACTTAAGATTTTTTTTGAAAAGAAAAGAAAATATGAAGAAATTTCGTCTTTTTGGGAACTATCATCAACAGACGTCGGATTTTAGAGCAATTCTTTTTTTTCCTTTTCTTTCTTTAATTTTTTATATATTTTATAATTGTCAACTTGAGTATTTTAGAAAGAAAAAAAACACATGCATTGAAAGAATTCTAAAAATTCTTATAATATGTCTAGGACGTTTCGGTACTACAAGTAAGTACCATCATCAGCTTCCCGTCATTCTTTGTCCGAGCTCAGATGATGGTATTTAGCATCGCTTATAGTACCGAAACGACTGAATGTCTTTCAAATTTGCATATTGTCGCCCTTGATGTTGCTTCCACATTATTTTACAATTATCGTAAAAAGAGTTCTTTGAATATATTGGTGTTGTATTTTGTCTGCTGTATATCTGTTGTTCTATATCTGCTGTATTTTAAAAGTTACTAAGTTTTGACAAATTAATAACGTAGAATGTCGGTTCTCCCCTAGAGTTATTACACATTAAAGATGGGCCATGCTGGGAAAAACGGATTCTGTCCCCACAGCTAATCTTCAATCCAGCGGCCTTCACGTTCTCTTTTTTGGAGACTTTTCTCTTCGTCGTAGTTGGTCGCAATTATAATGCACTCTTTTATTTATTTTAAAAACTTTACCTAATTTAAGAAAAAGTTAGGAATTAATTACTTTTATTTAAGAAAATGCAAAACAGGACAGCTGGTCGTTAAACCCCACTGGATTGTAAAATCGCGTCTCCACGTAGACAAAAAGCACAAGGAAAATTATAATGAAGAAAATTATAATATATACTAATGAGGAAATATTAATTGGGGAGGAATTTTGAAGAAAAATCGGTTCTTGTCCAATCCGATTTTAAAAATTACGTCAAAAATTGTACATTTTGTTCTGAAGTTTTAAGGGTATGTATTACATATTAGAGANGAAGAAAATTATAATATATACTAATGAGGAAATATTAATTGGGGAGGAATTTTGAAGAAAAATCGGTTCTTGTCCAACCCGATTTTAAAAATTACGTCAAAAATTATATATTTTGTTTTGAAGTTTTAAGGGTATGTAAAAAAAAAACTTGTGCCATCTGTGTATATTTTTATTGTCAATTGAATGCTCGCTCCTGAAAAATCTCAAACCATGAAATTCATTTTTTCTCAAAATCACCTTTAATATACAAACACAGATCTTCATTTGAGTTATGTTTGTATGCCAACTGTTTTACATTATAGTCATTTTGACACTTACCTGACATGAATAATGTAGTGAATAATAGAGCTGTGGTGATTGTCAATACTTGGAGCCCAGGACAAGTTAACTGAACGAGATGTAAAACTCATGATCAGTGGCATTCCTGGAGGATCAGGAACATCTGAAACGAATATACTGTAATTAATAAAGAATATACTTTAAATAAATATACTTATTAATAAAGAATATATTTTTAACAAAGAATGTACTTTTAGCGAAGAATATACTTAATAAAGCATATACTGAGCAATATATTATGAGTATAATGAATCATAGTTGTTAATGTTACATAGTAAAACAATCGATTAATTTTTAATGGAAAAATCAGATTATTCTTCGAATTTTTCCTACAAATAATAAAAGTATATATACAACGAAAGCTATATTTGATTTTTTTTAAACATAAGAATTTACTTATTAATAAAGGACATACTGAGCAATATATTAAGAATGCAATGAACCAAAATATCATGATGCTATATAGTAAAACTAATGAATAATTTTTAAGTGAAAAATCAGATTATTATTCTGAATATTCCTGTAAATAATAAAAGAAGATGTGTAAATGAATACTATATTTGATTTTTTGAAATATTTTTTTAAAATAACCATTACTTTTCATTTAAATTGTTCTCATGCAGTCAATTCCTTATATATAGTCTTAGAAAGAATGGTTAAGTATTAGTTTAACAGCTTTGGGAACACCAAAAACTTAGGTGCTTTTTACCAAGGCCCATCGGAAATAATTTTGGTAAAATTAGCAATAAAATATGGTTTTATAATATGTAATAAAATTAGCTGAATGTGGTAAAATTTGGTTATTTTATCATGGTACCTCGAGCATGGTATAAAACACATTTTTTCGGTTAAATTTACTCTCTACAGTTTGCATTTCTTATTAAAAGTGTGGTAACAAGAATTATAATTTTGAAAAACAGAATTACCAGCAAACCATTACCATATGAATGGAAAAATTATTTGGTATAATTCGGTTTAATTAAAAAAAAAGTATGTTTATTTTATTTAATTTAATAAATTTTTTTTTACTGGAAAAGTCATTACTATAGAAAACGGTAATTTTACCAGAATTTTTTTCTCCGTGCCTCAAACTAAGAAATAGAATTGTCCATCCTTATTACTTAAAAGGTATTAACACGAACCGCATAATGTAATGTTATGAAATGTAGGAGACAAGACTTCCTCGGTCGTATACAAGTTTAACACCTCATTAGTTTAACACATGCAAGTTTAACACTTCCTTTTTAACACCTCATTAGGTAATAGCAAATATAAATGACAACAGGCATCAAAAATGTCAATATTATAGGGGAAAAATGAATTATTATGAAGTACTACATTTTAGTTATGTATGTAAAGTTAAAGATTTTGATACATTACGAACCATAAAAGTCACATTTTAAATCCATTTGAACCAAATCGGGACAGTTTGTTGTAATCACAGTTAAGTATCAGATTGAACCATACAAACGAGTTAGTCCATGATTACACAATATTATGGTTCAATTTATTTTAACACCTTATTAAAATTGCAACAAATTAGTCCATTATTACACAATATTATGGTTCAATTTATTTTAACACCTTATTAAAATTGCAACAAATTTGCAAGAAAGTAAGGGTCTATGTATAATTTTAAGGTTCAACTCAGAATATGTGGAGTCATGTAAGCCTATAAAAATATTACTTATAAAATCCCACGGTTTTATGAATCAGTTTTTTAAAAGCAGATTGAACTGTTTAAAATTTAAATAACTTACATTCGAAATGAATTATTGCCCTACTCAGCAAAATGGGTAATTTCAAAATGTGATATGGGTAAAAATATCATAAACTTCAAATGGATAGTANATAATAAGAAAATTGTTTGCGCTCAGCGCCATCTGTTATTATAAATCCTCAACATTACGAACCATAAAAGTCACATTTTAAATCCATTTGAACCAAATCGGGACAGTTTGTCGTAATCACAGTTAAGTATCAGATTGAACCATACAAACGAGTAAGTTAGTTCATGATAACACAATATTATGGTTCAATTTATTTTAACACCTTATTAAAATTGCAACAAATTAGTCCATTATTACACAATATTATGGTTCAATTTATTTTAACACCTTATTAAAATTGCAACAAATTTGCAAGAAAGTAAGGGTCTATGTATAATTTTAAGGTTCAACTCAGAATATGTGGAGTCATGTAAGCCTATAAAAATATTACTTATAAAATCCCACGGTTTTATGAATCAGTTTTTTAAAAGCAGATTGAACTGTTTAAAATTTAAATAACTTACATTCGAAATGAATTATTGCCCTACTCAGCAAAATGGGTAATTTCAAAATGTGATATGGGTAAAAATATCATAAACTTCAAATGGATAGTAATATCTTTTTATGAAAAACATTTTTCCTTTTCGATAGATTATTTGGCTTTACGTTCTGCAGAGAAAGGGACCGTTATAGGATAATTTCACGAGGGCTAGGGAGCACTTTTCTTCTTTCAAGCGATTCTAGGCGTGCTGACTTGTAGGAAAGTTTCTATCGATTTAGTTAAGAGAGCTATTACATGACTATAATTTGGGGGTAGCGAGCAGAGCGTGGAGCTGTTTACAGGAAATGGGGACATAACATTTTATAGACAGCGTACCAGAACACTGATGACTCATCGACTATATAAATTTCCTTTCCCTTACACGTTATTCTTTTTATTGATGACTACATTTAACAGAATCAGTCAATTTAGAATGTTTTCTTTCAATAGTAAATGAATTTTTAAATAAACAATATGAATTTTTAAATATACATTTTTATTTGTTTAAACGAAATTTCAAACTTTCGACACCTACAAAATTTTATTAAGTTAATGCTTTCACCATAATGCTGGTATTTTGAAACAATGCACTACCAGAACAAAATATGTATTCTTATCAATATATAAAGTTAAATCATGGTTCCATTTAACTGTATTATAATGTAATCAAGTGTCTAAGAAGACAAAATTATTGTGATAATGATGCTTACTTGAATTATACTGGGGAATAAATTTTTTGTTGCATTTATACTTGATCTTACCTAATTTAGATGGGGGGATTTCAAATCAGAAATTAGTTTTGCTCCTAAAGCCCTATTTTTTTAGAGACATTATTAGCTTATTTTCGTCGAAATGTGCAAAGTTAAAAGCGTAATCTGAAATAGACCTTTACGTAAATGTTGCGACAAACTTTTAGGGGAACTGGGGCACATAGAATTAAAATGGCTTCGAAACGCAAGCCCAGAAATGTCATCGTAAGCGTCTAGGGGCGTTGCCCCTATTATGACTTGTTCAAAAGCACACGAAGATACAGTTCATAATAAGGAAGCACCTCTAACGGCGTGTGACAATATTTTCCGGCATGGTTCCTATACAAATGTAATCCTGATGGCGTTCCCTGACTTCCCTAGAAGTTTGCTGCAACATTTATGCGACCCCCTGTTTTACAGTAGGTTTTTAAACTGGTACATTTTGGCAAAAAATAGATTAAAAATATCAGTTAAGAAAATAAATATAGCTCGGAGAAAGGAAAACGATTGCAGATTTTAAATCAGCAATACGAATGTATTTAAGATCTTTTATTTCATGCAACAGAAAACAAAAATAAAAAAAAAATTGTTCCCTGTTGTTAATGAATATTATTTAGTTCAATACTTAGCAATGACTTTAACAATGTATTACCGTAAACATATGTCCACACATTATAAGCAAATATTTTTCAAAAAATTAACATAGAGGTTTTTAAACTTACATTGATGTTAAGTTATAGAATGAATAAAACTGTAACAATTTACTTCAAATACAGTTCGTATCTCTAAGCTTTTTAACTGTTAAAAACATAGATGAATGATACATATTTAGAAAATTTAGTAATTTTATCATTATACCTTAGAGCATGTCATAAAAACCCTTTATTCGGTTAAATTTCCTTTTTAATTCAGCTAAAATTCTTTTGCTAAAAGTATGTAAAGAAAAACTATGATTTCGAAACCCAGAATTTCCGATAAACCATAGCCATATGAACGGAAAAATTAGCAAATGTACGGTTTGAATACCGAATTTTTTTGATTCTGTTTACCAGAATTACGTTGTTATTTTCTTACCAGAAATGTCATTATCATACAGTATGGTCATTTCATCAGACTTTTTTTCTTCTTGTACCACAAAGAATTGTTTTTTAAATTAAAATTATTTTAATCTATTATAAAACAGATATGTGTCTTAAAATAAAAGCGTGTGATTCAGAATGCAATATTAAATAGAAATTTTAATTTTTAATGCCATGCATACTAACATAAATTCCTTTCATTCAAAAATACAATATGCTTTAAAACGACTTTGAACACGATGTTTATTCTTTCCTAGTTATAATAAAAATTAAATACTATTTTAAATTATTACACAATAGCAAATCTGAGAAATAAAACATAAAAATTAAATACTATTTTAAATTATTACACAATAGCAAATCTGAGAAATGAAACACGTAATATGACCATTTATCAAGCCATTCTGAAAAGAGTTAAAAACTCTACGCTAAATATTCGAATACGAGATTTTAATAACTTATAAATGATTGAAGACATTCAAATGTAAAGAGTTCTTCCTTGTTCCAATCTTTGTTCTTGAAAGATGAGCTAATTTGTGGGATAAAAGCGAAAAGATTGTTTTGAAAGCTTCCCGATTTAGAGCGAAATCGCATTAAAATTCGTCCAACTGGAATGGATTTTCTCAACTATGAAGAAGTAATCCGAAAAATCTCCATTGTGAAACATTTCTTATCTTCTTTACATGGAAAAGGATGTCATTATAATCTTTTCTTCGTCTTTATTTAATGGGTAATTTTTAAACGTTTTGATAAAATGTTTTGTTTGGGGCTATTCTCATTTAATAAATTACGAACTTCAGAAAAATAGTTTTTGGCACACTTAAAACTCACTTTTATTAAGTTTTATGTTCATTTTTAAATTTTCCCTTACGCCAAAATATGAGTCTTAATTAATTATAGATATTTGTTGTTTTCTTCACAAATTTTTCATTTTTACGTATATATGTTGTTAGTAACGTAAACAT